ACTTAACCCATTTGTCATACTCTCTCAGGATTGGAACCTTGTGTTCAAATCGGGAGCATCCAATATATCTCAAACCCAGGGGTAAAAAACACTGACAGTGGAAGTTTAAATTCAGGAATCTGGTATTCATTCCCTTACTATCATTACTTTTTTGTGCTCATTTTTGATTATATGGAGTGAAAGAATGATGAATATACACATACAAACAAAGCCAGCTGTCCTGTCTTCAGAGCACTGTGGAAGAAATTACTCATATAGTATTCCCACACTATGAGCAAATTCAGGCTTTCATGAAAAGTAACATTTTGATACAGTACTTTTTTAGATTGACTGCTGAAAATTAAAGTCTACACTGCAACTTTTCCAACAGAAACCTGTATTCTTCATTTTCAATAGTAACATTACTTTCAAACTCTTCATTGTTTTTTGCATTTCAACCTTGAATAATGTCTATACCTTGTTTATAAAAGTAGTGAAATGCTGTCTTAGTACAGACAATTAGAAAAGTTTTGTAACACTGTTGAGAATTCCTTAATACAATAAACTATTGCAAACTGTTCAGACAGGTCAGTCGTAGCTGTGGGCAATAGCACCTTTATAAGAAGAAACCTGCAGCAGAGCAGTGATGTGGTTTCTGGATTACAAACTTACAGGTTCATGTCCTGAGTGGGCACTGCTGTTGTACTCTTGAGAAAGGTATTTCAGTTATATTCCTCCACTGAAATATCCATGCTGTATAAATGGCTAAAGATGTGCTGTAAGTTGTTTTGGATAAATGCTTCAGTCTAAGTATTCACATTCGGTCTGCAGTACTTGCATACCAGTACAGCTTTAATAAATATACAAATTTATCAAATTCAAGGGGTCTTTTCTTTTCTTTTATGATACTTGAAATCGAAATGAAACATATGCTATCAATTTAAAGATGTGTGGTGGAACTTGAAGCAAATAAACAGAAACAGACATAATAGAATGTCTTTGACTCATGAAACTATTTAAACAAGGACCTGTTTCCATTCCATAGACTCCGGGCTTTACAGACATTAACCAGGGCAATAAATCACACGGGAAAATCCCAGGAGCAGCGATATTAAGCAGGGTGCTGGAATTTATAGCTGCCGCTAACTATGTAGTCTTATATCAAATCAAGGGCAATCGTAAAATACATGCACTACACAGCTTTGACAAAAAGGAGAGGGAATTAAAAAGCTTAACTGTGGCCTGAGTTTCAAGGGCTAGTTCTTAATCACTGAGAGCCTCATTCACAAAAAAAATGTGTGCACTTTATCAAGTTTGCTCCACCCCAGCCTTTGTCTTGAAGTCAGTCACCTTGCATAAGGTACACCTTATTACATCAGAACTTTTTTGTGAATGAAACCATAGTGGCTGTATGTAAAATGCAAGTAGTCCCAGACGTGTAAAAGAATTTCTTCCATATTGTTCCACTCCTTAAGGTTTATGTATAATATAATATGCTGAAATACCACTACAAGGGAATAAAGCCCATTTGTCTAAGAAGTCTACATGTTTTAATGCTGATATATGGCCCACATATAATGTCCACCTAATAACTGAAAACAAGACCAATAAAAAAATCAAGAAAACCAGCCATATGATCCAAGGTGGATCATATTTTCCTTCTTCCAGATGAGGGCATTTGTATTATATAAAAAGTACCTTTAAATAAACATTATGTTAATGCATTCATTCTGAACTTGACTGACAAGAGAAAGGAAGCTAATTACACACATTGAAAAAAGGAATGTCAAAGCACTGCAGATACGTTGAATGTTCATATTGTTGTCTGTTGTGCATTATGATAAGTTAAATCTGAATTATCCTGTCATCACAATTATTTTTTGGTCAAAAACACATGTACAGACATACCAGTTCAGAAGGAGGCAGTGTGAATTACACCACAAAAATGCATTCAAACACAGTATAGCACTACTTGTACATTTTTCATATGTACTAAGCCCTTTGGAATCAAGGTCACAATTTAATAACCCAAGATGGCATTTTCTCCAGCTTCTCATAACATGATTAATTTAGGACCTTTTATGCAACTGTAATACCAGCTCTGTTGGCTGCAGTTTCTTTTCTCATTTTTTCTAAAACCATTCCTGCATTTAAATGCCACCAGTCAAATAGGATCGTCACTTACAACTATATGCTGAGAAACTCAGCCTTCTATTTATAACACAGGCCTGTTCCAAAATGTGGGGGCAAATAAAAGCATTAGTCTTAAGAAGTGGAAAGGCAGGTTTTATTGTCTAGACGTTTTTTTAAAGGTCAAGAATTAAAAGCAGTGTAGTCACACCGTATATTCACATCCTTCAATAACATTTTTCAAATATGTTATTATGCTGCTTGCGAAGTTGTCTTCGCAGTTTGGACAGTTAATGACTAACATTTGTATGTTGTCATCGCAACTCAATTTGTCTTGACCTGTTAATTAACAAATTAACAATTTACAACCTGCATGCTGGCATTAGGATTAGTTTTTGCTCAAGGTCTATCAGTACAGTACAGTGACTTAACACAGATCATACTGATAGAATAAAAAGCCAGAGTTTGTTTTAGTGAACTTTTCTCATTTAAAAGGCTACAGCTGTAGCCCAGAATAATGTCACCAGTTGCTGCCCTCATTACCTAAAATGGATACAATAAATCAAGTTTAACAAACTCCTTTCTAGCTTGTCACGTTTGCATTTGTACACAGTGCTTAAGGCTTTTCACTTTGCTTTGATCTTGCATAACCATGAAAATAAACACTAGCAATTAAGGCAAAAAAGGAAGTCAACTAACATTTACGTCAATGTTGACTAACGGTCGCTACACAGGAAATTAATATAAATGAGTGTGCTATATTGTATTAACCGTAGACAGCTGTAGTTCTTAGCAAAGTACACAGAGATCATGAGAAAAATTTACCTCCTCATTGTACTCCTTTTACACTTCTTTAATGTGTGGGACAGATGGATATGATATGTATTATTTCAAATGGACTAACTGGGTGACAGAAGACTCACATGGTTTAATTTCACAGACCTGCAAATAAAAAAAACAGACTAACTACAGCCTTTGCAGAATTACAGACCACTCATAATGTGGATTTTTGGGAAAATGTCTTTCACATCCTCACATTTTAAATTAAACCAAATATCCTCTCTCCAAGCAATTTTAAATGTAATGGCAGCTCAAGATCCTGCAGTGTTTCTCCAATGACTTTTTAATCCAATATAAACTAAGAGCAGTGAATGCTGAAATCCTACCATTCCCATTCTTAAGGTCTCCGTGTGAATTGTACAAGAACGGATATTATAAACAAATAATTTTCATACATGTTTGAAAGTGATTAGTGACTATATTGTAAATCACTCTCAAAAGCAAGGTATGATGACATACCCTCTCTTCTACTTTGTTGTTTGTTCATCTACAAAGAGCAATACTTGTTTTTTTTATATGAGCCCTCACTGAAAGAAATAAAATTAAAGAACGGATGCTGGTGACATCCAGATATGAAAAACATGATCTGGAACATCTAAATTGCTTGCACAACATGCAATCTACAGGCTCTGCCCTACCCCCCTCCCAATTAATCACTGTAAACTACATCTCTGCTCTCTTCTGGAGAGTGTCAAGCTCCAGTTCCACAAGGCTAATCAAGTCTGTCAGCAGAGGACACTTAAACCGGCAACTGGAAACACTAACAAACAAAAATAGCAAAAAAGAAAAACAAAGAAGTGCCATACTCTTGCATTAATAATTCAATTCTGGCTTTTCAATGGTATCAATAATAAATGTAAGTGAGAAATTATCCCCATACCAGCATCCTCACCAGAAAAAAAAAAAAGAAAAAAAGCCACAACTGGCTTGCATTTTTAACCATCATTAAGATATGAAATATTAACTTTCAATCTAATCCAGGATGGCAGGTTAACTGCACAGCATCCGATTGCCTTGCATTATTCTCCAGCCTTTTCCAAATGTTTTCCCGGATATTACTCAGTGGTAATCTGGGAAGGGCTCCTCAGCAGCCAGCTGGTTAGTGATAGAGCATGAACGATGAGCAGAGAAATCAAATCGCCTCATATTATTGGTCAAGTACACATTTTACATAGTAATACCTGAGTGTCCGTAGAGGCCATAGATTTCGTATCCTTAAAAGCAGCAAAATGTAAGCCCTGCAAAGGGAATTACATTTTTAACAGATTTGTGCGATTTGATAGAACTTCACATCTTAAAAAACACTAACATTATCCATTCTTCATAAAGACAGTTTCACAAAAAGAAGAATCTAAAATAGCGTGTCACATAATGAGTTTTTATGATAGGGGGAAAACCATTATAATTTATTTATAAACCTATTTGTTCCCATGTAAACTAATGACAGGGCTAGGTTTTATGGGTGCTACACAACATACACCTTTTTAATTCTCTTTGTGATGCACACCTTGAAAGTGCAAAACTGTTCACGGGAGGCTTTTACTTTATCAGTTTTAATTACTTTTAAAAGTCTGGCGAGACAACAAAAAAACACCTTTAATTGGTAACGTACCAATGTCAGCCAGATCATATAACTTCATTTTTACAGTTTTTAAAAGAGGAAAGAGCTCTCACTATGACAATGATTGCACCTACTGTATGACCACTGGACAAGGGGAAAAGGCTGCACTATAAAGTATCTGGATGTCATAAGCTGCTCGATTTTCTACAAAGACAATTCTATTTAGGTGAACCCCATTTTCCTAGCAAAGAATTCCTCAGAGTATGTCTGAAACCCAAATTTCAGTCTCTTGACATGAAATGAAGCATCTTTATAGTATTTAGAGAGCTGATGCCAACAGTGTCTGGAGTAAGGTACTGATAAAGTGACACTACTAGCAAAATAATTACCTTTAAGAATATGAGGTTAAAGCATTTAATACGAAAACTCCATCTCAAGTCTATATTGTAAAGAATCATAGGCAGATATTTCAAGCAATTTTACAACTTACCATAAGCCAGTTTATTGAGAGCTGTTCTTGATACATCATCTTCAACCTTTATAGTCAAAACACTGTTCCAGTGGCATTCCTTCCTTATTTATATGAAAGGGCATTTCCTCTCTGCAGTTAACTGGAACTTTTCCCCTTCTTACCGATTCGCACAGAACAGCCAGGCCCTGAAAACACAGAGGCATTATTCTCCTTCAGTAACTGTTGATACAAATGCAAACATATGAACAGAGATATTCTTAATTTAAACTGAAGAGAGAATGCATGGATTTCTTCCTGCTCCCCAGCACTCCACTTCCGCACAAACAAGTATTAATGTGAACTTGCCAGTGGTTGTCTATCCTATGAAGTCAAAATAATTTTGTTCATCAAGTCCTTCCTAGCATTACACTACACTGGAAACTGTCTCTTAAATCTTTAAAGCCAAAAAACATACTTTCAAGATTAAATATTGTTAAGTATCTTACATGTGGACATGTAAACATTCCTATTTCTGTTTCAGATACTGAAACACTTTTGCAAGTGAACTTGTGTGAATATATCATTTCAATGTTAAATACAGAAAAGGCAACCATTGTATTTGGTATAGAAGCATTCATAAGACGTCTGCAGTGTGGAAAGCCGGCCCTGAAATATGAAATGTCAGCATTCCTTGCTTGTCCATGTGACTGGTTTCCGACTTGAAAGAGTGCAGTGTGTGGTCAGCTCCAGCCAAGCTCCCTTCTAAAGGTGGAAATGGTAGTTATTCTGTCTACACCAAGCTAATAGGCACATGCATTAGGTGAGGTGGTGTCCTCTGTCTGTCCACACTAGCTATTAAATGACCACTGGTAATGAAAAGAAGTCTTGCCCTGTATTTCGCCTTCAGAATCAATACGTAAAACGGAGGCGTCCTTGAAAAATGCACACACAGAACTGTACTGAATCCCAAATTGTCTACGGTTTGTTGCCGAGAAGTGTTACGCTTAATTTTTTTGTCAATATTGTTTAAAGACTGCCTGTTTCCATTGTAGTGACTATGAGAAATGCAGTGCTGTTTCCCCAGATATGAACTCTGTAAAACTCTGTAAGTTGTTTTCACCTAAAAAATATTTAACAGCTGAAGTCGACCTTTGATTTCCTATTCCTGGATGTCAGGCTGTGACCAATAACTCCACTAGAGCCATGGCACCATGGTATGGAAAATGCCTTTGGTTGAGTGCATTCCTCACTTAATATGCTATAAATGATAGATAACAATGCTGTAAAGAATATCTCAAGAGCCGAAAGGACAGGAACAGGGTACAGAATGTCTTCATTTTGGGTTACTGTACGGAACAACTGCTTCAGAGGAAGACTTTCCCTAACAGCTGTCACTTCAAGAGCATGGGAATAAGGACAGGAAGGCAGAAGAATAAAACCAATGATAATAAAGATCGACTGGTTTGATGAATGTCGACAGCATGTGTCAATAACGGAAAGGGTGATCTGTTTAGAGAGTGCTGGAACAGTTGACTTCTGCCCTTTGAAGGATTAAGTTTCACATTTTGTCATCACGCAAGCCAATAAATTACTCACAGTACGAAAGCACATTTATTGGGTGTGGTTGTGCATTCATATATGTATTGCTGCTGTTGTTTTTGAAAGCACAGTTATTACTACACTATTTTTTGAGACCCTTGAACTTATTTGTTTATACAAAAGTTGTTTCAAATAAAGAACAAAAGGGTGTCTTTCAAAGCTTTTATCTGATGAATAAAACTGCATTACTGGACAATAAGTAACTTATATGCACCTCATTTGTCTCTAAAACTTCTTTTAACATTTTATTATAAGGCAAACATGGAGTCATAGTGAATGTAGTGCATTATGTGTTCATTAAGTTCATTATGTTGTCATTAAATATTTTGGGTTAAAATTGGTGATGAATGAAATCTCAAATCCTGTCCCTCAGGTCTGCAAAATTATCAATGTGGAGATCAAGCTTTTAACTTGCACCATGCTGGAAACAATTACACTTATGTCACCAGGGAAGCAGGCTCTAGTGTTCCAAAAGAGCCTGTATAAAGGAATATGCCATCAGTCGCTAAGTACAAATTAAGCACTGTAAAGTTGTACAAACTCTGCTGGTTTAGCTACACACTTGAAACAACAAATTATTTTTAACATCTACAAAAGCTACAGCATGAACAGATGTAAACCCCAGTTCAAGAAAGGATCATACAAGCTTAAAAGAATGATCAACATTTTGCAAAGAAAATTCTCTTCATACCTCTACCTCTCTAAACCTACAGCATTCCAATCAGGTTAATTTCTCAGGTAACTTTAACCAGGCAAGAAGAGTCTATATATCAAATATGACACAATACAGTGCCTTGCATGGCAGAAAAAATCATACATAAAGTATATTATGGCTTATGTATGACAATGTTTTCATTAAATATTTCTTGTGGGTCTAAAGGAGAAGGCAATTGTGCCTCCTAATTAAACTAGGAAAAAGGTTAATTAAAACATATCCCCACCAACAATTCACCCATTGTGAATATTTAAGAAAGGATACAATGTGGGGACGTCTTAATTACACCATTTATCCACAGTCCCTTTCAAATCATTCCAATCTGCATCCACATGAGATGTGTGGCCTAAGCTTGTTTCATGTTGGTATGCAACTCCCTGGGGTTTGTTATTTAGAATTGGAATGTCACTGGAAGCTAGAATCTGACTTCCAATTCAAAATGAACTACACTAGCAAAATACTGTATATCCGAAAGCTTTATCATAAGGGAATAATTCCTCCCCTCAATTTCAAACTTTTCTTCACCCACACAAAAATAATCTCCCAGATGGCAGATTAATTGGAACGATGAGACTTTTTTGAAATAAAGTATGCAGTGGCAATAAAAAAAAAAGCATAAAATAGACATCCAATTTACACCCCCTGTTGAGACGCAATCAGACGAAGTGTGGAATGGTCAGTTACATCAACACGCAATGTTCAAAAGCGACTCCAAGTTAACAGGTGGTCGTTGTACTAATCAAGAGGCAAGATATCTGCTCATTCCAGTTCTAACATGTTTGAATTCCACTGTATGCGTCTATATAACCCTGTCTAAAAACTCTATAGAGTGCACACACCTGGCAGCTGTTTCTTACAAAAAAAAACATTACGCTGCATGCAAGCTTAATCACTCAAGATGTGTTGGTTAAAATGATTTCATTTTCATGGCTTTTAAACATTACAAACAAAACAGAAGGTCGAGAATCATGCTCCAAGTGAGCCAGATTTTTGCTCTACTAAATATCTTCATGCATTTAACTGATATAAAGAAAATGTACAGAAACCCAGCTAAAGTAGGGGACTGTATACAACCTGGATGTAATGATATAGTATTCAGTACACTGTGATGATGTCAAAGACTTCCAATATAATCAGTTACAAGGTAAAATTAAGTTCCCACCCTGGAATAATTGTGCACCGCAGTATTTCAAATCTAATGTTCCAACGTTTGCTTAACTTTAAACCTTGATGTAGATAAAAGTATGAAAAGCACTTTGCAGTAACAAACAGCATCACAAATCCACCACACCTTTAAATACCCCCCACATAATACAGCCTTCGTTTCCTGTTCATTTGGCAAATGCAATAAACAGATTTTATTTCAGTTTAAATTCACTGGCTGAACCAAGATACTCCATTGCACAACTTTTATTTTATTACAAAAAAACTAAAAAATATTTCAGAAGATAATTCTGTAATAAGTTTTTTTTACTACCAGAAAAACAAAACAGCTTTAGCAAAAAGGTCTACAGTCTCCAAGAAACACTGTCTAGACACTCAAAGTGGAGACATTGTCCACTTTTCAAATAACCTACTTTCTAAGGTTCACTTTTACCCTGTAGTAACAAGCTTTACTTTTTCTGATTAAAGGTAATATCAGACATTTTTAATTGGCATGCTTTGGACTGCATTGCAGCAACTTGTTTTAGTCTTGTGGCAAATGTGAATTATTGGAATAAGATTTTTTGAGAGGAGGGAGAAGCTTTAGAATTCTAGTTGGCAAATCAGCACCACACATCATCATAAATGATTGGCAATTAACTGTCTTAAAGTAGCAGTCTCAGCATTAAAGCTGCTGCATTACTGGATCAATCAATTGCAATCAACTCTGGAACCTGTGAAAACAACTGTGACAGTGACAGTGGAATTAACAGAGTTACGAGTTATGAAGGGATGTTTCTGGCAAGGGGCAGTTAGAAGGTTCTCGATAATACAGAGAATCGAACTTGGACATTCTCAGAGAGGGTCAGCAAAGACAGGCTAGATGGGTTGAATGATCACTTCCGCCTTTCTACAAATTGCCTTCTGTACTTCCCTAAGATAGCTTTCAAGCCCAGAGCAAGCTCTACTGGGATATGTTGAATCCTTTATTTAGGTAAGTCAATGAAAAAAAATCTAATTTACAATGACATCTCAAAGACTACGCCAGCAGCCATATCACCCTGCAACTCACAACTGGCAACCCACTGAAGCTAAGCAGGTGTGAGCCTGGTCAGTACCTGGATGGGAGACCTCCTGGGAAAAAAGGTTGCTGCTGGAAGAGGTGTTAGTGGGGCCAGCAGGGGGTGCTCACCCTGTGGTCCATGTGGGTCCTAATGCCCCAGTATAGTGACCGGGACACTATACTGTAAACAGGCGCCGTCCTTTGGATGAGACGTAAAACCGAGGTCCTGACTCTCTGTGGTCATTAAAAATCCCAGGGTGCCTCTCGAAAAGAGTAGGGGTGTAACCCCGGTGTCCTGGCCAAATTTCCAATTGGCCCTTACCAATCATGGCCTCCTAATAATCCCCCTCTATGAATTGGCTACATTACTCTGCTCTCCTCCCCACTGATAGCGTTCTGGCGCACTATGGCTGCCGTCGCATCATCCAGGTGGATGCTGCACATTGGTGGTGGTGGAGGGGAGTCCCCATTACCTTTAAAGCGCTTTGAGTGGAGTGTTCAGAAAAGCGCTATATAAGTGTAAGCAATTATAATTATTATTAATTATTTATACAGCAAGGCATTTCCCAATGCAACTTCTGTGATGTTGACTTGAGCCTTACTCAAGTCAAACAGGTTCTGAACCCATGAACCTCTGGTGCAAAATCCAGAACCCTTACCACTACTCCACCCTGCTGTGTATTAGC